TGTGTTCAGGGTAACGTGTCCTACATGTGATGTGTTCAGGGTAACGTGTCCTACATGTGATGTGTTCAGGGTAACGTGTCCTACATGTGATGTGTTCAGGGTTACATGTCCTACATGTGATGTGTTCAGGGTTACATGTCCTACATGTGATGTGTTCAGGGTTACATGTCCTACATGTGATGTGTTCAGGGTTACATGTCCTACATGTTCCTGTATGTGTTCAGGGTTACATGTCCTACATGTGATGTGTTCAGGGTTACATGTCCTACATGTGATGTGTTCAGGGTAATGTGTCCTGCGTGTGATGTGTTCAGGGTAATGGGTCCTGCGTGTGATGTGTTCAGTGCCTCGTGTTTTGTGTCGTGTTCAAGGCATCATGTCTCTTGTTTTAGTTTTTTCAGGGCTTTGTGTTGTGATGCATTCAGGGTCTTATATTCTGTGTTGTGATGCATTTAGGGTTTTATATTCTGTGTTGTGATGCATTCAGGGTGTTATATTCTGTATAATGATGCATTCAGGGTTTTATATTCTGTGTTGTGATGCATTCAGGGTCTTATTTTCTGTGTTGTGATGCATTCAGGGCCTTATATTCTGTGTTGTGATGCATTCAGGTGCAGACCTGGGCCCACTCCATGGTTTACACTGTGGAGGAACTGGAGTGTAAAATCTGCTACAACCGGTACAACACTCGCAGCAGGAAACCCAAACTGCTGGGTTGTCTGCACCGAGTCTGTGCCAAGTGTCTGAAGAAGATGGTCGACATGGGTGAGTTTACCTGCCAGGTGTGCTGGACGGACTAATGTCCACATATACCTGGCCTGAAATGGTTTTCCATTACTGGTTTATTAAAACTCAAAAGTAAAACTTTTATCATCAAGTCCAATATTCTGTCATGTGACTTTGTTCCCAGGAGACTCCTCCCCTTCTGTCATCACCTGCCCATTCTGTCGCCACGAGACCTACGTACCTGAGGAGGAGGTGAGACAGGTTACTGAGGAGGGGGTGAGACAGATTACTGAGGAGGGGGTGAGACAGGTTACTGAGGAGGGGGTGAGACAGGTTACTGAGGAGGGGGTGAGACAGGTTACTGAGGAGGGGGTGAGACAGGTTACTGAGGAGGGGGTGAGACAGGTTTACAGAGGAGGAGGTGAGACA